GGGGGGTGGGGGGGGGGGGGGGGGAGGGGGGAGGTGGATTGCCGGGTTTAGGGAGCCCAATAAAGTGGTTGGGGCTTTCTTACAAAAATGAATTAAACTGCTTGGGTTCAAATATGTTCCTCAGGTGCCTGTACCCTTTACAGGGGTTCAACCAGATGAGACAAGTCTAGGTAAACTTACGGCTCACCCTGTGCATCGTTTTTGAATGCTTTTCATCGAAGTGGGAGTTCGTCTCGCAGCGCAACCCTAAGCCCTAACTCCTACCCACATGTTTTCCCGAAATAAGGCCTCTGGGATCCCCAAGGCCCTAATGGGCAATGACAAGGGTTTAGGGTAAATCAGGAACCTCGAGCCCTGAATCCTACCCCTCAAGCCTGAAACCTTAACCCTATAATACCCAATGCCAACATCCCCAAAAAAGTCAGGTCAGTAGCTTCTCCTACTGTTGATGCAGCAAACTGTGAGAGTACTGGCAACCACATGCTGAAATGTAGTTACTTGGGACCATGCAGGATGCTTGATGTTGTTGATTCTTGCACAACTCTAAGTCTTGTGATTCCTGGGACTCTACAATGGCTTAGGCACCCTGACTGGTGCAAGAAGTCCTCCATTCACAGAATCAACAGTACTTAATTCTAAACCCCAAACCCTGAACCTAAACCCAAACCAATTGACGGCCAAGCTGCTCACCATGGCGGACTAAATTGATTACTGCCTCGGCCACATGTCACAGATTGAGGGTTCATGGGGTGTACGGCTTAGGGTTTATGGATTTAGGGTTTAGGGGTTTGAGGGTTTAGGGGTTTAGGGCTCGCATGGTTCGGGGAGGTCCAAAGGCGTACGGCTTAGCCTTTTTGAGGTCCTTACTACAATGCGGACTGGACTTAGACGTAGACTTTTTCACAGGAAAGGACATCATGTTCACTAACATGCTTGCTACTTGGGGCTGATTAACAGTTAACATGGATGACTCATTGCATGGTCAGGGTCTTACTGAGACAATTGACTGCGCAGAAACAGGAAGAACATTGCAGGGTCTAGCTACGTCTGCCAGGATCTGTCTGTGGAGCTGAAGTCACCGAGTCAGCGGTATCCCTACCTCAAACAATATTGAGTATGTCTCCATCAGACGCGCTACCACATGGAACATCTAAGATTAGGGGGTTCTGTGTGGTGGGGGGCGCTAAATATCCGGAGAAAATGATTAAACCAAAAAAAAGTCCCCCTTAAGTAGATAGAAGATGGCTTGGGGTACATTATAATAAGATCCCCATATAAATGTATACATATATATATATTCTATCCACTTAAGGGGGACTACAAATCCAGGGGAAATGACTCCTGTAAGCATCAGCAGAAAGAAATGAAGCCAAGGTCTTCTCCTCTCCTACAAAAACCTAGGTTTAGGATTTAGGGTAGTGGGGTTAGTATAGGGTTTAGGGTTTAGAGTGTAGTGGTTTAGGGTAGTGGGGTTACTAGGGAGTAAGGGAAAAGAAGCCCTAAACCCTAAACCCTAAACCCTTTAAGAAACTTGGAGTTGCTGCATTGCCTGGCTTGTAAGAAGGTCTCTGGTGGCTACAAGGGCAAAACCTGTTTTTTTCATCTTCTTGGGTTTAGCAGGGAATAAGGAATCTATTATATATGAATTATATGGGGAATATACTCCCTTATTCTCTAGAGTTGGTAGGCAATAAGGGGAAATATCTTATGTAGAGATGAAATAAGGAGTGTATTCCCTTATTCCCTAGTAGAGACCAGTAAGCCAGGTGACCGAATCACAGCGCCTCAGGCGCCAATCTTCTAGTCTAAGTTTCTTGATAACTCAAATCCTTTCATTTGGATACTGGGGCCGCCCTCCGCTGTACATGTTGATGAAATGCACGCGGAGTGTTTTACCTGCTTGGTATCTGGCCGGCTGCGTCCTTTGGTGCACCTACTTGGGTCCCCGAAATAAATGAACCTCCCCCACATACATGGAACATTTTCCTGCGGAGCCTAGTGTCCTTTGACAAGAGTTTTCTGTGCGTTCCATTACTACAGGGGTCTAAATGATTAGCAGAGCCTAGTGTCCTTTGAAAAGAGTTTTCTGCGCGTTCCATTACTACAGGGGTCCAAATGATTACCAATACAATTTTGAGGTCCATTTGAGGTACCATAGACCATAATTATATACGGAATATCGAACCATAATATTGGTAATATTTGGTGATTATTTAGGCCCCTATACTAGTTTGGGGAAGGTATATTCCCCAGATCCGAAACTCCTATTCTCTCATGTCCAGTGCGTACTGAGGCACACTGTCTGCCGCTGCGCCCCAACAGAAGACTGCGCACAGCACCGCCGCTATGAACGCCATCTTTTTACTGCTCGTTAATAGAAATTTGGGACATTAAGGGATAGGGTACAGAGGGTTTAAGGTGGTTTAGGGTTTAGGGTGTGTTTATACACATTTTTCAGTAGGCTTCAATGTTGACCGGGGCACAGGAGGTGATAAGATACTTGCCCAACAGCCCGAAAGCACTTGTTCTACATGCTTTGGGCTTCAGGCTTAGGGGGCTAAGGGCTTATGACTCGCAAATGACAAGAGGCTAGAGATGCAGCTGTTCGCAACAAAAAGCCGCACAACATGGTCAGGAACATTTCTGGGAGATGGCTCGCCGATAAAGTCTCTGCCTTGAAGTTGCAGATTGTCACACCCCAGATAAATTGAAGGGATGCCTCATTCTGACTCCAGCAAAGGGGCAACACGTTTGCCAACCGTCGGAGGTCTCATGTGATGCATGGATGCTTCGTGTTGCGCAAGCTCGAGCCTGAAACGGCTCGGATTCCAGCACATGGATGTGGGGGTTGCTAAAAAAATTAGGGTACATTTCTTGGAGGGTCCCCATGATAAGGAACATACCAGCTGTATGTTGGGGTCTGTATTGGGGTCCCCGTATGTTGGGAAACTACCATGTGAAGAGACATGGTGTTCTCAAAGCACATGGCCTACATTCCAAGTTCCACGCACTTTTGTGTGTACCGTTCACTTTGCCTCACGCATCCTTTCCAGGGTACGAGTCAAAGGCCTTACCACTTTCAGAAGCGACCGCATAATAAACCAAATGCCCTATCCATTTCATGCCTGGCAGCAATGGAGAAAGCGGTCTTGTCCGTGTAACTGTCATGCTGGATGAGAACTCTAGGCTTAGGGCATCAAGGGTTCGGAATTTCGTTTTGCAGCCTGTATGCTATAATGATAATGCGGTGTTTGTTTTTGCGTATAGAATGCCGGTATTCCATAACCGGCAAACCTAGCCACTTAGGGATCCAAAAAAAGACATGTAGGGTGCCGTACAGGCAACAGCAACTAAGAGGATAATCTAGCACCGAAAAGAAAGGCCCTATGGAGATTTGAGTCCTTTTTGTGGAGCTTCCATGTCAGCTTCTCGAGGGCATAAACCCTAAACCCCCAACTCTAAACCCTAAACTCCAACCCCTGAACATATGATACATAGATATATATATATATAATACACTCACATGTATACTAAAAAGCCTTAACATATGGTGTACCTAGCACAAATCTATATACTCAGATTCGTAAACACATGGCATGCCGAGTATACCGCCGTATACTCAAATCCCTACACATATGGCATATCCAGTACCCAAACCCTAAACCCTGAANNCCTGAACCCTAAACCTAACACCCTTTAGAGGGACCCGGATCTTTGCCAAAACTCTGTGTTCAGCCTCGAGCGGCTCGCTGGTGGTTTGAACAAAGTCCTCGGGAGGGAGTTTAGGAGTTTAGGGCTTAGGGGTTTAGTGGTTAGGTCAACAGCCCAGGGTTAGGATTTGAACTTCGGGGTCTAGAGTTTAGGGTTAATGGTTTAGGGGTTTAGGGTTAGGGTTTTTAGGGTTTGGAGTTTAGACATTTGGGATTTACTGACACAAGGCTTTAGAGTCCGGGCTCCGGGCTTAGATGCAGTAACTTCTTCTGGAGTGAGGGTTGGAACCATAAACCCTAAACCCTAAACCCTAAACAGCCAAGGCAGGGACGACATCGGGCTAAAGAAGGAGCATAACCCTAAACCCTAAAGCGCCATGGGGGCAGAGCTATAGGCTATAAGGGTTTAGGGTTTAGGGTACAGCCTCAACTCCCAAGATCTCCCCGAATAGCCCTAGAGTAGTCGCCTATGTAATCCCCTATATAACCCCCTTTCAAGGAGTTTAGACTATAGCTAATATGGGCCCTTCGGCCGGTTAGGGGTATTATAGGGAGCCTTTAGTAGGTACATAAGCCTCCCAAGGTTAAGGGCCCATACTAGGGGCCTAGGGCTTCAATTGTAGAATTCAGACCGGGGAATCCCCCCGAAGAGACCAGGTAGTTGTTCAACAGGGTTTAGGGTTTAGGGTGTATAAGGTTTAGAGCTTAGGGTTTATAAGGTCCACACAAAAGCAAAGTCTCAGCAAGACATGACATGCTGGCCGTCAGGCATTCCCCTGACATGAGGCATCTTGTATATTGCCCAGTCTTGCGGAGGAACATGCGGTGGATACGGGAAATCTTGCACCACTTTCAAGCCCCAGCGCGAAACAATTCCTAGGAAGTATGGTTCTCAAGGCAGTGCAGAATTTCCTCCTTCAAGCTAAACCCTCAACCCAGGATCTTGAAGAAACCCTCAGCTACAGTATTTCAGCAAGTGCCCGGGAGCAAACTTGAACACAAAGCTCAGATTTAGTGTAGGACGTCTGTAGGGTTTAGGTTCAGGGGCTAGGGCTTAGAGTCATAGAATGAGCAAATATGAAATCAACCTAAGATATAGGGTATGAGGCTTAGGATTTAGGATGAGGGTCTACGGTTTGGATTTTTGTGGATGTGCGGTTTGTTACTTCTTCACTGCGCTAAGAGAGTCCTTGGACGTTGGTGATTGCGTTGTCGCTTTCCAACTAAAAACAGCTCCGGCTGCAAGCCAAAGCGCACTCCTTTCCCTAAAGGTCCATGTACCCAAGGGTTTATGGTTTAGGGTTTAAGGTACCCAATTATTGGGTACTGAGGCTTTTGGTAATAGTAAATATGGTACAGCTTTTGGGTGAGTATATGATAATTGAATACTTGGACCCTTAGGGTTCTTGCACCCCACAACTCGAAACAAAAGGCCTTCACGTGACTTACTGGTTCCGCAGTAGAGAATAAGGGAGTATAATCCCCACATAACCCCTATATACTAGATTCCTTCTTCTCTACTTAACCCAATAAGATGAAAAAATACACTTGTAGCCACCAGAGACCTGCTTACCAGCCAGGCAGTATAACTACTTCAGGTTTAGGGTTTATATCCTGAACCATTCAAGAATTCGAAATCCCACTTAGCATTCCTCGAGGGTCCAAGAACCCAACTGTTGGGTTTAAAAAACACAAGAGTTTCACCCTATGTGAGACTGACTCCCATGTACAACCAGCCCTTTGAAAAAGGGATATTAAGCTTCACTGTACGGCATATTATGGGGACTTTTTATGTGTGGGTGTGCGGCGGTGGTTGATGATAAGCTCCAATGTTTGTCGTAGACTTTCGAGAGAGTTCGAAGTGAAAAAGGCCAGAGTTGACGCTGACAAAAGCAGGCCTCCGCCAACCAGGACCACGCTGATTCGTTCCTGACATTGAACAGAAAACGCCCTAAACCCCTAAACCCACATCACCCCTCAACCTCTTAACCCTAAGATATTTTGAGGCTCGTTGGACCAAACTCATTGACTTACACAAAACTCTGCTGATAGACCCGTGATTAATAAACCCCCTCCTTTTAAAGGCCTGAATATTAAGATCCAAATTATAATTCCCATGGAGGGTGTTTATGGATCAGGGGGCCAAATTACCCTGCAAGTACAATGAATCCCCACATGGTGGAAAGTGTTGGGTTGTTCATGAGGCACAGATTGAGGTTTTAATAGGGATTATTGACACGTTTTGAGGAATTTAGGGACCTTGCGCGGTGCAAGATCTTCTCCAGCAACGCCCTTAATCCTAACCCCAAGTTCCTAAACCCTAAACCCTAAACCCTAATCCCTAAACCCTAAACCCTAAGTTCTGTGTGTAAGGCTCCCAGATGAGGGCGTGTAAAGGGGTCTTCGTGCTCTTGGGTCCTTGTGTTCTTGGAGGCTCAGGCCCCCATACTGCGGTTTTCAAGGGGTCATACCCTAAGGGTCCAAGGACCCAAATAACAGGGTTTTAGGGCCCAAATACCAATAATACTATAGTATTTGGGCCCTAAAACCCTATTATTTGGGTCCTTGGACCCTTAGGGTTAGGGATGTGAAACCACTTCTAGGGGTATATTTATAGAGAGAAATGTAGGGTTTAAGGGTACAAGTG